GAGTCATCAGGGAACGTGTCGAGTTGGTTGTTCTGTATGTTCCCTGTTGTTATTATGGATGTATATTTGTTGTGTTCAGCTCCACAGTGCCCGAGTTGCCAGGGAACGTGTCGAGTTGGTTGTTCTGTATGTTCCCTGCTGTCAGCATGGTTGTATATTTGTTGTGTTCAGCTCCACAGTGCCCGAGTTGCCAGGGAACGTGTCAATGGTTGGTTGTTCTGTATGTTCCCCTGTTGTCAGTATGGTTGTATATGGTTGTTGTTGTGTTCAGCTCCACAGTGTCCGAGTTGCCAGGGAACGTGTCGAGTTGGTTGTTCTGTATGTTCCCTGCTGTCAGTATGGTTGTATATTTGATGTGTTCAGCTCCACAGTGCCCGAATTGCCAGCGAATGTATCGAGTTGGTTGTTCTGTATGTTCCCTGCTGTCAGTATGGTTGTATATTTGTTGTGTTCAGCTCCACAGTGCCCGAGTTGCCAGGGGAAGTGTCGAGTTGGTTGTTCTGTATGTTCCCTGCTGTCAGTATGGTTGTATATTTGTTGTGTTCAGCTCCACAGTGCCAGAGTTGCCAGGGAACGTGTCGTGTTCGTTGTTCTGTATATTCCCTGCTGTCAGTATGGTTGTATATTTGTTGTGTTCAGCTCCACAGTGCCCGAGTTGCCAGGGAACGTGTCGAAGTGGTTGTTCTGTATCTTCCCTGCTGTCAGTATGGTTGTATATTTGTTGTGTTCAGCTCCACAGTGCCCGAGCTGCCAGGGAACGTGTTGAATTGGTTTGTATGTATGTTCCCTGCTGTCAGTATAGTTGTATATTTGTTCTGTACAGTTCCCCAGTGCCCGAGCTGTAAGGGAACGTGTCGAGTTGGTTGTGTTCCCTGCTGTCGGTATGGTTGTATATTTGATGTGTTTAGCTCCACAGTGCCCGAGTTGCCAGGCAACGTGTCGTGTTGGTTGTTCTGTATGTTCCTGCTGTCAGTATGGTTGTATATTTGTTGTGTTCAGCTCCGAGTCATCAGGGAACAGTGTTGCCGAGGGAACGTGTCGAGTTGGTTGTTCTGTATGTTCCCTGTTGTCAGTATGGTTGTATATTTGTTGTGTTCAGCTCCACAGTGCCCGAGTTGCCAGGGAACGTGTCGTGTTGGTTGTTCTGTATGTTCCCTGTTGTATGGTTCTGTATGTATGGTTGTGTGTTCAGCTCCACAGTGCCCGAGCTGCCAGGGAACGTGAATGTTGAATTGGTTGTTGTGCTATGTTCCCTGCTGTCAGTATGGTTGTATATTTGTTGTCAGTATGGTTGTTGCAGTTCCCCAGTGCCCGGAGTTGCCAGGAACGTGTCGTGTTGGATTGTTCTGTATGTTCCTGCTGTCAGTATGGTTGTATATTTGTTGTGTTCAGCTCCACAGTGCCCGAGTTGCCAGGGAACGTGTCGAGTTGGTTGTTCTGTATGTTCCTGCTGTCAGTATGGTTGTATATTTGTTGTGTTCAGCTCCACAGTGCCCGAGTTGCCAGGAACGTGTCGAGTTGGTTGTTCTGTATGTTCCCTGTTGTCAGTATGGTTTGTATATTTGTTGTGTTCAGCTCCACACAGTGCCCGAGTTGCCAGGGAACGTGTCGAGTTGGTTGTTCTGTATGTTCCCTGCTGTCAGTATGGTTGTATATTTGTTGTGTTCAGCTCCACAGTGCCCGAGTTGCCAGGGAACGTGTCGTGTTGGTTGTTCTGTATGTTCCCTGCTGTCAGTATGGTTGTATATTTGTTGTGTTCAGCTCCACAGTGCCCGAGTTGCCAGGGAACGTGTCGTGTTGGTTCTTCTGTATGTTCCTGCTGTCAGTATGGTTGTATATTTGTTGTGTTCAGCTCCACAGTGCCGAGTTGCCAGGAACGTGTCGAGTTGGTTGTTCTGTATGTTCCCTGCTGTCAGTATGGTTGTATATTTGTTGTGTTCAGCTCCACAGTGCCCGAGTTGCCAGGGAACGTGTCGAGTTGGTTGTTCTGTATGTTCCCTGTTGTCAGTATGGTTGTATATTTATTGTGTTCAGCTCCACAGTGCCCGAGTTGCCAGGGAACGTGTCGTGTTGGTTGTTCTGTATGTTCCCTGCTGTCAGTATGGTTGTATATTTGTTGTGTTCAGCTCCACAGTGCCCGAGTTGCCAGGAACGTGTCGTTTTGGTTGTTCTGTATGTTCCCTGTTGTCAGAATGGTTGTATATTTATTGTGTTCAGCTCCACAGTGCCCGAGTTTCCAGGGAACGTGTCGTGTTGGTTGTTCTGTATGTTCCCTGCTGTCAGTATGGTTGTATATTTGTTGTGTTCAGCTCCACAGTGCCCGAGTTGCCAGGGGACGTGTCGAGGTGGTTGTTCTGTATGTTCTCTGTTGTCAATATGGTTGTATATTTGTTGTGTTCAGCTCCACAGTGCCCGAGTTGCCAGGGAACGTGTCGAGTTGGTTGTTCTGTATGTTCCCTGTTGTCAGTATGGTTGTATATTTGTTGTGTTCAGCTCCACAGTGCCCGAGCTGCCAGGGAACGTGTCAATTGGTGGTTGTTCTGTATGTTCCCTGTTGTCAGTATGGTTGTATATTTGTTGTGTTCAGCTCCACAGTGCCCGAGTTGCCAGGGAACGTGTCGAGTTGGTTGTTCTGTATGTTCCCTGTTGTCAGTATGGTTGTATATTTGTTGTGTTCAGCTCCACAGTGCCCGAGTTGCCAGGGAACGTGTCGAGTTGGTTGTTCTGTATGTTCCCTGTTGTCAGTATGGTTGTATATTTGTTGTGTTCAGCTCCACAGTGCCCGAGCTGCCAGGGAACGTGTCGTGTTGGTTGTTCTGTATGTTCCCTGTTGTCAGTATGGTTGTATATTTGTTGTGTTCAGCTCCACAGTGCCCGAGTTGCCAGGGAACGTGTCGAGTTGGTTGTTCTGTATGTTCCCTGTTGTCAGTATGGTTGTATATTTGTTGTGTTCAGCTCCACAGTGCCCGAGTTGCCAGGGAACGTGTCGAGGTGGTTGTTCTGTATGTTCCCTGTTGTCAGTATGGTTGTATATTTGTTGTGTTCAGCTCCACAGTGCCCGAGCTGCCAGGGAACGTGTCGAATTGGTTGTTCTGTATGTTCCCTGCTGTCAGTATGGTTGTATATTTGTTCTGTACAGTTCCACAGTGCCCGAGTTGCCAGGGAACGTGTCGAGTTGGTTGTTCTGTATGTTCCCTGCTGTCAGTATGGTTGTATATTTGTTGTGTTCAGCTCCACAGTGCCCGAGTTGCCAGGGAACGTGTCGAATTGGTTGTTCTGTATGTTCCCTGCTGTCAGTATGGTTGTATATTTGTTGTGTTCAGTTCCCCAGTGCCCGAGTTGCCAGGGAACGTGTCGAGTTGGTTGTTCTGTATGTTCCCTGTTGTCAGTATGGTTGTATATTTGTTGTGTTCAGCTCCACAGTGCCCGAGCTGCCAGGGAACGTGTCGAGTTGGTTGTTCTGTATGTTCCCTGTTGTCAGTATGGTTGTATATTTGTTGTGTTCAGCTCCACAGTGCCCGAGTTGCCAGGGAACGTGTCGAGGTGGTTGTTCTGTATGTTCTCTGTTGTCAATATGGTTGTATATTTGTTGTGTTCAGCTCCACAGTGCCCGAGCTGCCAGGGAACGTGTCGAATTGGTTGTTCTGTATGTTCCCTGTTGTCAATATGGTTGTATATTTGATGTGTTTAGCTCCACAGTGCCCGAGTTGCCAGGGAACGTGTCGAGTTGGTTGTTCTGTATGTTCCCTGTTGTCAGTATGGTTGTATATTTGTTGTGTTCAGCTCCACAGTGCCCGAGTTGCCAGGGAACGTGTCGAGTTGGTTGTTCTGTATGTTCCCTGTTGTCAATATGGTTGTATATTTGTTGTGTTCAGCTCCACAGTGCCCGAGTTGCCAGGGAACGTGTCGAGGTGGTTGTTCTGTATGTTCCCTGTTGTCAGTATGGTTGTATATTTGTTGTGTTCAGCTCCACAGTGCCCGAGTTGCCAGGGAACGTGTTGAATTGGTTTGTATGTATGTTCCCTGCTGTCAGTATGGTTGTATATTTGTTCTGTACAGTTCCCCAGTGCCCGAGTTGCCAGGGAACGTGTCGAGTTGGTTATGTTCCCTGCTGTCAGTATGGTTGTATATTTGTTGTGTTCAGCTCCACAGTGCCCGAGTTGCCAGGGAACGTGTCGAGTTGGTTGTTCTGTATGTTCCCTGTTGTCAGTATGGTTGTATATTTGATGTGTTTAGCTCCACAGTGCCCGAGTTGCCAGGGAACGTGTCGAGTTGGTTGTTCTGTATGTTCCCTGTTGTCAGTATGGTTGTATATTTGATGTGTTTAGCTCCACAGTGCCCGAGTTGTCAGGGAACGTGTCGAGTTGGTTGTTATGTATGTTCTCTGTTGTCAATATGGTTGTATATTTGATGTGTTTAGCTCCACAGTGCCCGAGTTGCCCGAGAACGTGTCGAGGTGGTTGTTCTCTATGTTCTCTGTTGTCAATATGGTTGTATATTTGTTGTGTTCAGCTCCACAGTGCCCGAGTTGCCCGGGAACGTGTTGAGTTGGTTGTTCTGTATGTTCCCTTTTGTCTTTACGGTTGTATATTTGATGTGTTCAGCTCCACAGTGCCCGAGCTGCATGACGCCAACTGTAGGAAATCGAGTCTTTTCATGGTAATTCAGTTATTGACACCGAGGACATCGATCCATGCAATTAGGATACAATTATTTGCAATCAAGCAAGTCAGCGAACCTCACCACCTGGTTCATTTAGTCGCCTCCTACCATAAGTGTAGGTTCAAGGGAATACATATTTCAACCCATCAATTTATCAAGCCATGTTCAAGGGATGACGTCATTCAGCATAGTCCATAACCGTGGAAGACAATAACGCCAAACTAAAAATCAGATATGAGAATCCCTAGCATGAGCATGTGTCGTGTGTCCGGAATATCGAAAAGTCATTACACTTCATCTTTCAACCGTATTTTCCGTTGTAGTGTCAGTATTATTACCTGGTCCGCAATGTTCCCGGCATTCCGATGCTTTTGATTCCTGTGAGCACAGCACTGTGCAGCTACCACAGGCGTTGAGACTGACGCTGAAGTAGGAGCCGGGATGACACCTGGTCCGGTTGTAATCTGTAAATATAACGTCAATACTTAGTGTACACAATGCAAATGACGTTACAAGTGGTAACAGCAAGAACTTTAGGAATATCAGTGCAGCTGGTATTTTAACAGCTGTGTAATTTGATCAAATATAACTGATGCTGAAATCCATTTCTACAAAGTGTAATATATATTCATCCTGCATTTCATACGTAGTATATATCAGTTTTATTTCTATCATATACGTAATTTTATTTCTAATTCTTACCAACAGATATGTAAGTTCTTTTAACAGATGTATTAGATCTGAATTTCCCAGATGTCCTGAATACCTTTCCGGTTGTTCCGATGGGCTGCCTCTTACTACCAGCATATATGGCTGTAGACTAGTGTAACTATTCAATAATACCCACGAAACTACGAGGTAAATATCTGTAAAACAACATCCTCTTGGCTTCTGTTCCATTGCTTTTGAACAGGTCAAATCACAATACCTTTTCAGACATAGATTATACACGGACAATTTAAAGGAAAAATTTGTGATAAAAAAATTAGCATGTTATCATTCAGAATTCCCCGGAGATGTGCAATTAAGTAGGCTTTAAAACTGTACAGATCTTTAAGTGAAAAAGTATTTACATTGTGACTTTTCTTTCCAAAAATAAATGTCAACGTCTCACCACGATTTGCCTCAACAAATGTTTAGTGTAAACGATTCAATGATTGCTCATTCCGTCAAACCATTAACCATGATTAATATTATATTTACAGATATCGATAGTTCATACAATTTAAGGTAGCATTTTATGAACGCATGTAATATGTACCTAGAGGCTACAGCCATGTATCAGTTACACTACTACAAAGGTGTGATACATTTCTAACAATACATGCTTTTTATTCGGTCCCAAATAATACACGGTCATTTAGAAAATGAAAAAAATAAAGAGTAACATTAATTAACACGTTTGAAATAGGGAAATGCATTAGCTCAATTTTGCTATGCATATTTCAATATTCGCATGATATAACAGGTTCCGAGGCAATATACAGTATCCGTTATATTAATTAACTCGATTGATTCATCCAAGCTTAAATAAATCAACGCGACTCTGGAGAATTCATGGAGACGATTTATATAACAATAGAAGCCTGATCATTAGAACGGACCAATGCCACCAATCACGAGACTTTCTAATACTATATTGATCGATATATTCCTTATGAAACTGCTTAATATTTGACGCGCAACATAAACTCAGCCACATTTGATCTGGAACTAAATGCGCCCTCATTTGGCCTCTTCAGCAGCCCACTGTCTGTCCAAAACCACATGGCTTTAACAACTATGGACGAGACCATGGTAATAGCATAGCATTCGATAGACTGGCGTTCTCGCTAGTACTAAGGTATTGGATTATTGATTTTCGTCAGTGTTTAATACGTGAAGAGACTACAAATTAGATCTGGTTGATGAATACAAAAATCTTATGAATAATGGTTGCCCTTGATGCCTTTGGAGAGGCACGTTACAGATGTTATCGTGACGTTGTGAACTTGTCTACATCCGTGGATGTTTACAACATTTAATACACATCAGTGTTAACCGCAGTGCATGTAAGCGTAACGAAAGGCTGGATAGCTGTGGAGGTGTTTTGTCACAAGAATATAACTGGGTGACCTCGTGCAGATAGGAAGGGTATCTCAATGTTAAACTGCCAAACATTGAAAACTATTGTTTTAAACCTCATGCACTTCATAGAGCATTAAATGTCCGGCATTTTTTGAAGCAGTTGCTTCATGTATGACGTAATCTGACAGAATCTCAAACAGTTTTTTATTCTGATAGGAGGCCGAATCATGTTATTTCTCTTTTCTCTGAATTTCTCACGTAAGATATAAGTACACACCACGGGTATATTGCGTCCATGTTATACTTATCGGACAGAAGTATTTACAAATTGAAAATTAAGTGGGTTTTCATGGTGATATGGGACGATGGTGGGTTAGGAGTCGTTGTAGGGTCTTATGCAGATGCAGTAACGTTCCCGATTGTACCGAACTCGTATACCAAATAAATATGATAAACATAGACTCTATAGTATGTTGTGTGACCGTCTGGACGCTGGTCAGTGGACGGACTTACCGTGACAGTAGGAGGCACATAGGGGTTCCGTCTTCTGTTCCTCAGCGCGATCACATAGCGAGCTGCACTCCCGACAACTACCCGCGATAGGGTCCTTGTAGGTACCCCGGGCACACTCCGGCAATGCCCCACAGGGCTCCAACCCACAGCCCCAGGGTGACAAGCACCTGGACAGGCAGGAACCACTCTAGGGGAGCCATGGACGGATATAGGTACCGGCAGATAAACCCCGCTATGCTGTGTGTTATGACGGGCGATATGTTGTGATCACGTGACTTGTTTATGAATGGATGACGTCATACGTCGTTCTCGGATTGCTGGAGTTTATCATACACCTGCCTCGCGGTGATCTATTTGTGAAGAGTTGCTCTACTTCTTGATCGTCCCGTGTACGCGGGTTGTTGTGTGAAAGACGCGGACAGGTGCGAGAGGGAGACGCTGTGACAGGATCGATGCGAGAAAGGGAGACCACTCTTGTTGGTTTGGTTCGAAATTACGTACATGGGTTCGTATGAGTTGGGTGGTTAGAAAACCTGTACCTGTTGATGTCGATAACATCAACTGTGCCATATATTTTCGCAATTCGAGATATTTTTAAAATTTCGCCTCGAAAATGTTCGAAAATATAAGCAAACACCGTGTATTCCTGCCTGAAATGGGATGTTTCTCAAAGTGATAAATGAGGAGTGGAGGCATAGATCAGGAAGTTGCAGGTTACACTGATTTGGTGGTAATTTGATGTGTATGACAGCCATTGCTACACATATTTTATTCATGGAATATAATCTATCAATTCCAACCAAAACATGTATCTATAACAAACTACCCGTCTCGTATGTTGATCTATCCAGGTCCCATAGCAAACACCACAGTGCACACTCGAATATATCATAATGCATCTACTGCCACATTTGACTTAAATCTAATAAACCATGATACATTCACATTCACGAACAGTCACCTAACATACATCATAATACATTCACTTTCACTACAGTCACCTAACATACATCATAATACACTCACGACCACTACAGTCACCTTACATACATCATACTACATTCACGACCACTACAGTCACCTAACATACATCCTAATACAAGCACAACCACTACAGTCACCTAACATACATCATAATACAAGCACATTCACTACAGTCACCTAACATACATCATAATACAAACACTTTCACTACAGTCACCTAACATACATCATAATACATTCACTTTCACTACAGTCACCTAACATACATCCTAATACAATCACTTTCACTACAGTCACCTAACATACATCATAATACATTCACTTTCACTACAGTCACCTAGCATGCGTCATACGACATTCTTTCATGCGTACAGCCAACTAACATACATCCTAATACCAAACGCACAACCACTACAGTCACCTAACATACATCCTAATACATTCACATTGACTACAGTCACCTAGCATACATCATAATACATTCACTTTCACTACAGTCCATAACAAGCATCCTAATACAACCACAGCCACTACAGTCACCTAACATACATCTTAACATTCCTTTCACTACAGTCACCTGACATACATCACTATACAAAACACAACCACTACAGTCACCTAACATACATCGCATAATACATTCACTTTCACTACAGTCCACCTAGCATACGTCATAGCCACATTCACTAGCTCACCTACATCATAATGCACACATTAACCACTACAGTCACCTAACATACATCCTAATACAAACGCATTGACTGGTCACCTTCACTACAGTCCATGCAAACACATTACTACTAATCACCTAACATACATTCTAATATCAAGCGCACATTCACTAAAGTCACCTAACATACATCATAATACAAGGCACTTTCACTACAGTCACCCTAACATACACATCATAATACATTCACATTCACTACAGTCACTTAACATACATCATAATACAAGCACAGTCACTACAGTCACCTAACATACATCCTAATACAATCACATTCACTACAGTCACCTAACATACATCATAATACAAGCACTTTCACTACAGTCACCTAACATACATCATAATACATTCACTTTCACTACAGTCACCTAACATACATCTTATACAAGCACATTCACTAACACGTTTGAAATAGGGAAATGCAGGTAATGAAGCCTCTAAATTTTGCAATGCACAGCCTCAACAATATTCGTACGATATAACAGGTTCCGAGGCAATACACGGTATCCGTTATATTAATTAACTCGATTGATTCATCCAAGCTTTTAAATAAATCAACGCGACTCTGGAGATTCATGGAGACTTGATTTATATAACAATAGAAGCCTGATCATTAGAACGGACCAATGCCATCAATCACGAGACTTTCTAATACTATATATTGATCGATATATTCCTTATGTCTCAAGCTTAATATTTGACGCGCAACATAAACTCAGCCACATTTGATCTGGAACTAAATGCGCCCTCATTTGGCCTTCTTCAGCAGCAGCCCACTGTCTGTCCAAAACCGGCTATGGCTTTTAACAACTATGGACGAGACCATGGTAATAGCATAGCATCCGATAGACTGGCGTTCTCGCTAGTACTAAGGTATTGGATTATTGATTTTCGTCAGTGTTTAATACGTGAAGAGACTACAAATTAAGATCTGGTTGATGAATACAAAATCTTATGCGAATAATGGTTGCCCTTGATGCCTTTTGGAGAGGCACGTTACAGATGTTATCGTGACGTTGTGAACTGGTCACACATCCGTGGATGTTTACAACATTTAATACACATCAGTGTTAACCGCAGTGCATGTAAGCGTAACGAAAGGCTGGATAGCTGTGGAGGTGTTTTGTCACAAAGAATATAACTGGGTGACTCTCGTGCAGATAGGAAGGGTATCTCAATGTTAAGCTGCCAAACATTGAAAACTGTTGTTTTAAACCTCATGTACTTCATAGAGCATTAAATGTCCGGCATTTTGAAGCAGTTGCTTCATGTATGACGTAATCTGGATGAGAATCTCAAACCAGTTTTTATTCGGATAGGAGGCCGAATCATCATTTCTCTTTTCTCTGAATTTCTCACGTAAGATATAAGTACATACATCCACGGGTAGATTGCGTCCATGTTATACTTATCGGACAGAAGTATTTACAAATTGAAAATTAAGTGCGTTTTGATGGTGATATGGGACGATGGTGGGTTAGGAGTCGTTGTAGGGTCTTATGCAGATGCAGTAACGTTCCTGATTGTACGGAACTCGTATACCAAATAAAATATGATAAACATAGACTCTATAGTACGTTGTGTGACCGTCTGGACGCTGGTCAGTGGACGGACTTTACCGTGACAGTAGGAGGCACACAGGGTTCCGTCTTCTGTTCCTCAGCGCGATCACATAGCGAGCTGCACTCCCGACAACTACCCGCGATAGGGTCCTTGTAGGTACCCCGGGCACACTCCGGCAATGCCCACAGGGCTCCAACCCACAGCCCCAGGGTGACAAGCACCTGGACAGGCAGGAACCACTCTAGGGGAGCCATGGACGGATATAGGTACCGGCAGATAAACCCCGCTTTTGCTTGTGTGTTATGACGGGCGATATGTTGTGATCACGTGACTTGTTTATGAATGGATGACGTCATACGTCGTTCTCGGATTGCTGGAGTTTATCATACACCTGCCTCGCGGTGATCTATTTGTGAAGAGTTGCTCTACTTCTAGATCGTCCCGTGTACGCGGGTTGTTGTGTGAGAGACGCGGACAGGTGCGAGAGGGAGACGCTGTGACAGGATCGATGCGAGAAAGGGAGACCACTCTTGTTGGCTTGGTTCGAAATTACGTACATGGGTTCGTATGAGTTGGGTGGTTAGAGAACCTGTACCTGTTGATGTCGATAACATCAACTGTGCCATATATTTTCGCAATTCGAGATATTTTTATAATTTCGCCTCGAAAATGTTCGAAAATATAAGCAAACACCGTGTATTCCTGCCTGAAATGGGATGTTTCTCAAAGTGATAAATGAGGAGTGGAGGCATAGATCAGGAAGTTGCAGGTTACACTGATTTGGTGGTAATTTGATGTGTATGACAGCCATTGCTACACATATTTTATTCATGGAATATAATCTATCAATTCCAACCAAAACATGTATCTATAACAAACTACCCGTCTCGTATGTTGATCTATCCACGTCCCATAGCAAAACCACAGTGCACACTCGAATATACATCATAATGCATCTACTGCCACATTACTTAAATCTAATAAATCATGATACATTCACATTCACTACAGTCACCTAACATGCATCATAATACATTCACTTTCACTACAGTCACCTAACATACATCATAATACATTCACTTTCACTACAGTCACCTCACATACATCATAATACATTCACAACCACTACAGTCACCTAACATACATCCTAATACAAGCACAACCACTACAGTCACCTAACATACATCCTAATACAAGCACATTCACTCACAGTCACCTAACATACATCATAATGCATCTACTGCTTTCACTACAGTCACCTAACATACATCATAATACATTCACATTCACTACAGTCACCTAACATACATCATAATACATTCACTTTCACTACAGTCACCTAACATACATCATAATACATTCACGACCACTACAGTCACCTAACATACATCATAATACATTCACGACCACTACAGTCACCTAACATACATCATAATACAAGCACATTCACTACAGTCACCTAACATACATCCTAATACAAGCACAACCACTACAGTCACCTAACATACATCATAATACAAGCACATTCACTACAGTCACCTAACAAACATCCTAATACAAGCATAACCACTACAGTCACCTAACATACATCCTAATACATTCACTTTCACTACAGTCACCTGACATACATCCTAATACAAGCACAACCACGAGAGTCACCTAACATACATCATAATACATTCACTTTCACTACAGTCACCTAGCATACGTCATAATACATTCACTTTCACTACAGCCAACTAACATACATCATAATACAAGCACAACCACTACAGTCACCTAACATACATCCTAATACAAGCACATTCACTACAGTCACCTAACATACATCCTAATACAAGCACATTCACTACAGTCACCTAACATACATCCTAATACAAGCACATTCACTACAGTCACCTAACATACATCCTAATACAAGCACAACCACTACAGTCACCTAACATACATCATAATACAAGCACTTTCACTACAGTCACCTAACATACATCATAATACAAGCACATTCACTACAGTCACCTAACATACATCCTAATACAAGCACATTCACTACAGTCACCTAACAT